TGTCACCTGCTCTGCCCCACTTCTCCAGCTCTCCTCTCCCCCAGAGTTGCAGTCAGGCATTTAAAACAGAATTTATCCCAGTTTTCCTTCAAACAGGCCATTTCCCCCAGGTTTCTCTCTTCATCCAGTGTGTGGGCAGCTCACAGGCCAGCCCATGGAAAGGTGACTCCCTCAGGACAGAATGTCACCTTGGGATGCTGGCAGAGCTCAGCAGGTCACTGTCACCCCCACCCAGATCTCATCCAACACCATCTGAAAGCTGCAGTTACTGAAAGGCTCAGACAGCTCCAGTACATCCAGAGAGGAACAAATCACAACCATGCCACCTCTCCCACCTCTGATTTGAATTTTACTGCTCAGAGGGCTTTGTCTGACACCACAGGAGTCTCCAATTCCTTTCACAAACTCTGTTTCAATATTAACACCTGCACCTTGATCTAGCCCATCCAGGAGCTCCCACCCATGTCCTGCTCCTGTGCTCTGAGGTGACAAATGACATGGCTGCTTGCACAGAGTAAACAAGATCTTTCCTTGGAGTATTCCTACTTTATTTATGTCTTTGTGCTGATCTTTCTCTGCTCTGTGCTCTTGCTGAAACCCAAACCACTGTGCAACAACTGCTCACGATAAATCTCCCTAATTTAATTCCATTTCTTGTTGTTTCATATACTTGCAATCTGCACTTGGAGCAACTAATTCCAAAGATTAATAGCTGCTTCAGACACCATTTACTGGCCTTTATTTTTGCAGATACACAGCTTTGACATTTATCTGGGAAAAAACAAGGTCTGTGCTTTGCAGTCCGTGGATTGTGCACTGAAGAAGTGAGAATTCTGCAGGACCAAAATTCAACAGCTGGTTGTGGTCTTCATATCAAAATGAAAGTTGATGTTATAATACTTCTGGAACTGTGACTCATTGTGCACACAATTCTTTGATTAATTCTTCCTGCCACCCATCTCCATTCCTCCAATGCTTCTGTCTCCAGTCTCTGTTGGAAGCTGGGCAAGGGATTGTATATTTATTTACAAGGTTAAGGAAAACTTCCCTGGCAATACTGAAAAAAGAAATAAGAATAAAAAGAAAAAAAAGAATATTTTCTTCCCCTTTTCTGGATATTCATCTTCTTGGCAGGGCAGTGTTGTCACAGGACAACTCAGGGACATAATTTATCTCGTTTATATCCACATTATCCTCCCAATTGGACCTCAGTGGAACCTAAAACATGAGAGACCTCAGTCCACTCACTTCTGGAGGCATTTTTCATCCACTATAGAGCAGTTCCTGCCCTACCAAGTTCAGTTTTGAATGGCCCATTTAAACAAAAAAGAACAGACTTGACTTTTTGAAGACTTTCTTGTTTTACACTGGCAGGTTTATGTCTCCACTTTTAGTGTAAAGCATTCTGAGCAGCTTGAGAAGAAATTCTAGGCATCAGGCAGAAATCCTAACAAACACAATCACTGGCAATAATTAGAAATTTAAAATTTCTGATCAGTAAGCAGTTGTCTGAGTTGTGGAATTCAAATGCCAGGTATTTGATGATGGATGGTGATTTAAAAGGAATTATCACAAGAAAGAAAAAAAAAATAATTGCAGGAAGATGTACCTGAATGAAAGGATGGGCATTTTATCAGATTAGGCCAATAAAACCATTTTTGGACCTGGGATTCATGCTGCCTGATTGGGATGACCTAAATAATGGTTTTTAAAAATGTTCTCAGGGAGGCTGTGAGTGAAAGTCATGGGGCAGCCAAGGGAAAAGATCTTTTTCTAGCCAAAAACAAGGTAGGTCAGCCTAAGTCAAGACTTGCCTTTTCCCAGAGGAAAGATCTGACTTTTAAAGAGAGATCATATCAAAGTGAGAGTTTCCTGAGAGCACAGCATTGCACCAGGTGACTCATTTCAGCTGGATATTATCCCAGCCCCTTCATGCCAGGGGCTGCTGCAATTCCTTTTCCAGGGGCTGCGTCCTTGCCAGCTCTGCACAGGTTCTGCTGCCAGCAGCAAAGGGCAGTGGTTTTCTGGGGGTTATTAGAGATTTTTTATCTTACCCAACCCAGTGGGAAGGTTACAGCTGCTTTGTGTCCCCCCTAAAAAATATAGGGGGGAGGGACTATATATGAGCTAATAATAATAATTATTATATATATCATTATATATAATACATAATATATAATAAATATAGTACATTATATATTATATTTATAAAATATATAATATAATAGATATTTTATTATTATAATATTTATATGTAATTATAGATATAATCATTCTATAAATATATAATATATAATATATTATATAAGCAATTATATAATATGTAATATATAATATATAACATATAACATATAATATAAAATATATAATATAATAATATATTATATGTTATATATTATATATTATATTATTATATATAATATATAATATATAATATATATAATAATATATATTATATATATTATTATATATATTTTATATATATATATATATATTAAAAATATAGATATAAAAATATATATTATATATATATATTATTATATATATTATCTTCTCAGGAAGACCCCAAAACCTGGGGTTTCAATATTGGGTTCATTCCTTCCCTCATTTATGGCCAGCTCTGTAGGAAGACCCCAAACCTGGGGTTTCAATGTTGGGTTCATTCCTTCCCTTATTTATGGCCAGAAAGACCCCAAACCTGGGGTTCCAATATTGGATTAATTCCCTCCTTTATTTATGGCCAGCTCAACATGAAGGCCCCAAACCTGGGGTTCCAATATTGGGTTCATTCCTTCCCTCAGCAGGAAAGCTGTGCCAGATGTTTGCTCCCAGCGAGCTCCTCTGGGAATTTATAGAGTGAAATAAAAGATCAAAAGCAATTCAGAACACAGCCAGGTGATTCCCTTTAAGCATCTGGCCCCAAGCCCTCGCCGAGCCTGGCAGAGGTCGGTGTGAAGTGGCCCCTGACCATGTGGGAAGGCCTGTAAAGAAGAATATAAAGCCTCTACTCTTAGCCAGCTTTGCTGGAGATGAGGTCTGAGGGAAGCAGATGAATGTTATTAGGGAAGGACTTGCTGAGTGCTGCATCCCACTGACAAAACTCCCAGGAAGCCTCCAAATGCACGATCCCATTAATTAGGAGGCAGAATGTCTCTCAGGGTGGGGGAGAGGCTCCTCTTTGGGGACCATCCCAAACAATTCCTCTGGGCGGGACAGCCCCAACTGCTCTTGCTGTCCCTCCCTGTGCCAGCTCCCTCCAGGGCACGGCTGTCCCACAGCCTTTTGTCTCCAAAAAGCTTCTGTGAGCTGCTGGTGTCCCCAGGAGGGGACAGCAGGATGCTTTCCCTGTCAGGCCAGTGGGAAT